TCATGAAGCAGCACCACCCCACAGGCAGCTCCCACCTGCTCGGGTGTCTGAAGGTTTGGGAGAGAAAAGCATCCCTGCTTTGCTGCCTCGGTTAGGAGAAGTGTTGCTGCTTTCTGAGGATGGAGGAAGGTGTCTTCTAGGCCTGGTGTCACCAGATCTGGATGAGGTCAGGAGGTGCTGGAGCTCTTGGCAGGGAAGGGGTGATGTTAGCTGTTTCCTCTGAGGCTCGGGCAGTTGGGTTCCCACAGCACAACTGGAGTTCTCAGTGCCATTCCGAGTGCCTCGGTGTTCCTCATCTTTTTCCTTGTGTGTGAAGGAGCTACCCAGCACATCCTTGGCTAGCCCAACTCCTGTGATGTTGTCTGACAGGAACACAACCACACTTGGCTTGGCACTTCCCTGCGTAGTCCAGAAAGATCTTGCAGGCTTAACCTCCGACTTCCAAACCCATCAGGTCTGTATTGTGGCACAGTTATAGATAAAACCTTATTTCGGTAAAAAGGAGAGCTCCAGGTGATATTTGCTGTCCCTTCTGATGTGTCTTGACCAAAGCAGTGATCAGGAACCATCCCAGGCTGGAGAGAGCTGGGGAAGGTGGACACAGACTTGGGGAGGGAAAGAGCAGAGCCAAAATTTTCTGCATGATATTTTTATAAGAGTAAGCTTTCTAATGTTCTTATAGCCTTATGCAATGCACTGAGAAGAAAGAAGCTGGAAATTTTTTCCCTGCTAAAATGTTTGAAGTAACCTTAGTGGGGGGTTTTCTTAAAAGGTGCATTTTAAATTATTAAAATAATTAAATAATTGATTTTCTGTAGAAAAATTAAAATGGTTATTCTTGAGTAAGTCTAGAAGAGCAAGGAGGTGCTTGGAGTGTGGTGTAAAAATTCTGCATAACTGGAAGATTTGGCGGAAGCACAAAGTGGGTGTATGAAAACCTCTGCCGCAGAAAAGCCTCAAAAAGAACCTTTTACATGATAGCTATCTTCTACTCTGACTAGGGTTCAGACCAAAGTTTAAGAATCATTTGAAGGACACCCCACAATCTGCTCCGGGGAGATCCTTGTAGGTGCAGTGGTGAGACTGTTGTTAGGCTGGGTCCTGAGAAGTCCTTTAGCTTTCTGATGTTTTTTCTCTTTCCCACCTTAAGCTGTGAATGCTGTACATTGAATATCGAATTTTTTGCATGCAATTGAACTTGAATCCCATCCAGAATCCACTGATATCTTTGGGACACTTAAAGCTTGTGATACTGCCAGGATTGATCTACATCTCTACCAGCACAGCCCACTTCACCCATACTTATCATCACTGAGAGCAACCACGTAGGTGATCGCTGTGTTTCCATTTATTGCTTGTGCACTGGGGAAAGTTATCTTCTTTTTTCTGCAAATAGGATTTTCAAACTTGCACTGAAGCAGTAGCAAGTATTAACTCTTGAGCTGGCGAAGGCAGCGGGATTAATTAGTTCATGCCTCAAAGAGCTCGCTGCGAAGGTGAAAATTGCAGTGTAAGTGAAACATATGATTATTGCTAATTAAAATGCAAATGCTAGATTTGACAGCTAGTTTCCAAAGGAGGGTGGTTGGTAGTGTTTATGTGCATGAGCCTCCCTGTTCCCAAGAAGGTGCAGAGCTTGGCCAGAAGGATTGGCATGGATGAGAGCAGCTGCTGGGAATCCATCTCTGGAGAGGGTGATGTTTTCCCTCCAAGTACCAAAGTGATGCTTGGAGGTCCCATCTCCTGATAGTGAGTGTAGAACACGAATGGCAGGTAAAGGAGCCCAAATGAAAGCTGAGAGCAAGACTTCAAGGGTTGTCTGGGGTCTTGGAAGAGACTGGGAGAGTCTTGGTCTTTTGAGGGCAGGGTGGAGAGTAAAAGGGCCAGGTGATGGGAGATTGGGTTGGCAAAAGGCAAGGGATGGAGAGCTTTGTGGCATTACAGCTGTTTCTTCAGCTTCTGTCAGGTTTGGCAAACAATCCTGTTCTGTAACATGCTGGATTTATTTGGCAAGAGCAGTGTGTGGGAGACACATCCCATGCTTTGGGATGGAGGAAGAGCAGTGCCACATCTCGCCATTGCCAAGCCCTGGCTTTCTGCTGAAGTCCAGCTGCCTGCATGGGTTTGGGAATGGGTTTTTATGGGCTTTGCAATGATGCTGGTGAAGGGGTTTTTGTTGCTTTGTTGTGTTTTTTAAGGAATGATCGTTGCTTGAATACTCTCACCCACATCTTGAGCATCACCCGTGAGTTCATTGTGAGCTTCCATTCGGTGTGAGAGGGCCCATTTTAGTGTGAAATGGATTTATTAAGGTGCACAAAGCCACCAGAAATGTCTGGCAGAGTTTCTGGTGGACTTTTTTTCTTTTTTTTTTTTTTTTTGAGCTTTGAGTCCCTGTCAGTATGGTATCAGTGAAATGTTCATCTATAGCATGTAGTCAGAAATTTGGGGGAGATATTGAGTGCAGCTGTGCTTATGAGTATGAATGTGAGTGTTTCTGGGCCATACTCCTTTGGACTGCTTCAGCTTGAACAGAAATTTCAACAACTTTTAGCTTAAAAATTTTTATTTTAAAAATCATTTTTCTATATTGATATTAATAGTGCATGATAAAGATAAGCAGCACAAACAGGAAAAAAAAGTCCCAGGCCAGGAAATAGAGCCAGGAGACAAACTGATTTAGTAAAAGGGTATCTGTGATTGTGGTCTCACTGGTTTGTGCTGTATCCACTGGCTTTCTTGGCGGATGTTGATGCAGGGGGTAGCCAATCTCCCCGTTTCTCACACGGGTTTTGTCGCAGTAAAATGCCAGCCGCATTTCTGGAATTTGCAAAACCTCAGGCTGTCTGCAGAAAGCCACGACTGTAAGTTGGGGCAACTGTGAATACAAGCGGTGTAAGTGTTGATTTTCAGTGTGACCTGGTCCCACTGCAGCATTTGGCACCGAAATTTTGTATATGTGGATGAACGGGGTGTTCAGAGTGGGATTTCCAGAGTAGGATACACACTGGTGGTAAAAAGTCCTTCGGACATCTAGGCAGTGAAGGCGCCTTTCTCCCAGCCACCTTTTAGGTTGGTGCACCTCTTTCCCTCATCAGATGAGATATTTCTGGCTCTTCCCCAGGCCTTCCCCAAGTTGCGTCATGCCCGTGCCTCGCAAGCAACACTGGAGTGGTTTTTTCCCTCCATGCCAATTTAACAAAACTCTCTCAGCTTTGTGTCATTTATTTCTCAGCCATTGGGAGGTTCGGGTCAGGGCGTGCTCAGAAGGGAAGAAGGTGCTTTCAGTTGTAACATCTGGTGGGAATGGCCACGACCTTTCAGATTTCATTTATATACAACTTGAAAACCAGTTGGTGTCCTCTTTTGAAGTCAGTACTGATTTTAGGCTGTAGCAACCACAGTGTGTTTGAGCATGCTTGAAACTTAGTAGGTTTGAGGATGGAGAAGGTGCAATTGGAACAAAGCAGAAACCAGCACTAGTGTGTTTTGCTTCCAATGCCTTGTGTTGGGTAAATACTTACATGTTTCCTGCGCACGAAGGTCCATGCTGTAGGTAGCATCACCCTGGGTAGTTTAGGGTCTGTTGTGCAGCTGTCTCCATCCTCCATCCAACCCAGGTGGCACTGGTGGAGCTGGGACCTGATCTGTGCCTTTAAATTTGTGTCCTGGACTTGGCTGTTGTGTTCAACAGGAGTTTTGGATTCTGAGTCCTTTTGGCTTTTGAAGGCCAAGGTGGCCCTGCCCTTGCCTTAGCCCATGGCAGTGTCTGCAGGATCTCATGTAGCCCCACGAGGATGTCTGAGACATGAGAAACCCTCTTTTATGTGTCAGCTCTCACACCAGTCCTAAAACATATGCTTCCCTTTGTATTTCCCAGCTTTTCAGAGAACTTGAAAGAGTTTAATATTCTGCACTCTGTGGGTTTCTGATCATTTTAGGTCACTTCAAAAGTCTTTCCCAAGCCTCTGAGCAAAGCTTTTGGAGCAATTACCCTGACAATATCCACCCTTCTCCCCAAGCACCTTGTGGGATGTTTGTGTAGGGCTGATCAGGTGAGTTATTCTGGTTTTCAGATGAGTCATTATGCCCTCAGGGCTGAACAAGAATTCTGCAGGCTGCTTGACAGCCCAGCAAGTAAGAGAATAAAGGAGAACATTAGGCACAGCTCCTTAACAGGCAAAAATAGTTATTTTTGTAGTGTGTCTTCTGGTGAACTACAAGTGTTTTCAGGTGTGTGAGCAGCTGGATTCCAACACAAGGCTAAGAAGTGGGAAAAACTTACTGAAGTGTTGATTTCGGCCTGGGAGGAGAATTAGGGAAGTAGGATGGAATAGAATGGAATGGAATGGAATGGAAAGGAAAGGAATGGAATGGAATGGAATGGAATGGAATGGAATGGAATGGAATGGAATGGAATAGAGTAGAGTAGAATAGAATAGAATAGAATAGAATAGAATAGAATAGAATAGAATAGAATAGAATAGAATAGAATAGAATAGAATAGAATAGAATAGAATAGAATAGAATAGAATAGAATAGAATAGAATAGAATAGTATTGGTTGGGAAGGACCTACAACCATCATCCACTCCAACTACCTGTTCAGTTCAGGGCTGACACAAAGTTAGGACCTGTTGTTAGGGACACTGTCCAAACGCCCTAAGCAGCTTCAGAGGATGTGGGGTTGCTGAACAAGCATAATTAATTCTCCTGAAGATAGAGAAGGTAAGTATTATTTTCCCCAGGCGTGCACTGGAGCCAAGTCTTGTCTTCATCGAAGCCTCCCACGGTGTCACCCCTTTGCACTGTATAAACAGAACATGCTAAAGTATTCGTGAGAAAGCCCCAAAATCAGGGTGTTGGGCATGGGGCATAGTTTTGTAGGTGCTGGCAGGTGTGGTCTGGGAGCTGGAGCTCCCCTGTCGGGCCAGGCCGGTGGTTTTTGAGTGCGCAGGATGGAGCTGCCCTTGACTAAAGCAACCTGTTTGTTGTTTCCAGGAAGAGTGGGATCACAGCAGCAGTGGGAGCACAGGATCCCAGCCGGGGTTGGGCTCCAGGCAGGGGTCTGGATCCAGGTCTGGCAGCCACAGGAGAAGCAGCCAGTTCAGGCAATCGACCAAGGTATATCTGGTAGTGCTGTGCTGAAGTTGTGTCCTTTGCTTGCTGCTTATTGGAGGCATCCTCCCCACGACATGTTTGCTGTGTGTGTCACACCTAGGTGTGGGTGCATGTCACTTCTGAAGGGCACTTCAAAGACCTAATTAGTTCAGTCATAATGTGTGACCCTGCTGAGGTGTGCAGAGTGCCTCAGTGTTGGGAAAGAAGTTCCTTGGTCAGCTGGTTTGGTGCAAAGGGAGACAGGGTTTGTTTTTTTTTTTTTCCTTTATTTGAAGTCTTGGAGTATTTAAATTTTGGGAAATTAAGAGATGTCTGTAATTATTTGCTGGCAAGTCTTCCTTAGAAATTGATAGATGAGTGGATACCACATAGATGGTATTAAATGGTGACCTTGAGTGCAGCTGCTTTCTGTGTGAGCTGTCTGCAGGGCTAGATGGGGAGTTACCTCCCTACTTACCCTGCCAAAGACTGTAAAAATTCACTTTTATGGTTTTAGGCTCATCCTTGAACTCATACCCTGACCAGCCTGTTTGTTTTGATCAGCCTCTGTCCTTTTTTCTCTTGGAGTTACTCTACTTATGCACTGGTTGTGCCAGAAGTGAAGGGCAGACTCTGGGAGGTTTGGAACCAGTGGTCAAAGTCCTGGTCTGTTCATCCATTTCATCCTCCTGGAGAACTTAAGGAAAACAGCCTGTCTTCCTGATGCTGTGGTGGGAGAGGACCCACAGAACCAGATTGCTGCTGGAAAGTGGTGGTCCTTTCTGGTGGGAAGGAGTGAGACTCAGCATATCCTTCCTTCTTTGAGCAGGAATAACACTGTCTTCCTCAAAATGCCTGTGTTTTTATCTGTATTTTTCTTATGAAAGCTTGAGGTTTTCAACAAGGAAACCTTTCACTGGAGCTTTTTCAAGACAGTTCAGTATCTATCCATCTTTTTTTTTGTTTGTTTGTTTCCTACCGAAGTCCATCCAAGGTACTGTAGGCAGCAAAAAAAGCAGGAAGGGTGGGGGGAAGCTCCTCAAACTTAGAACTGAAAAACGCTTAAGAAGTAACACATGGCACAGGATAATCCCTTGGTTTATACCCCGGGCTCAGGCGACCACCTGACGCTGCTGTGCAGCCGTGAGCCAACTCAACCATGCAGCGAAGGGCAGGATTTTGGGTTTGTTTCCTGGAGGACGGCGATGGGGAGCGGCGGGGAGGTTGGGACGCCGAGCTGGGCTGCGGAAAGCCTGCTGCGTGCATGCAAATGCTGACTCTGTGGGGAATTTGCTGAAGCTGCATGCGTGGTTAAACAGGCCAGGGTCCACGTGGGCCCGCCCCTGTTTGTGTGGGCAGCTGGGCGTCGGTGGATGGAGGCGGCGTGAGCTCGCAGGGGCTGGAGGGTGGGGGCATTTAAACCTCGCTGCCTATAGGGTCTGCTTCACGGGATCTCTCCATCCCTCTGAGCAGTATTGGTGTTGTTCTTGTCGGTGTGTCTTCTCTCATTCATAGTGCCTGGTTAATTAATTTTAGGTGGCACCAACTCCTCCGCGGTGAAAACGATGATCTAAAGCTGAGCGTTGGGTCGTGGGGAGCTTCACGTTAAAACTGCTGATGGTTGTAATTGCAGTCCTGGGGGGAATGACAGCAAGTCACTTCTTTTCATAAATGCATGCAGGGTTGGGGGTTTTTTTTCTCTTTTTTTTTGTACCTGGACGTAAGAATTTGGCTTTTAGAAGTCTTATTATTAAGTCTTGGCACTGCTATGAGCATTTTAGTACATGCCCTGCAGCAGAGGGCAGCAAGGATGCTTGCTGCCCGTCCTGTGAGTCGAGACAGGAACTGGTTCTAGAGACAGGTTGTCGAAGACCTAAGGGGTGTCTCAAAATGGCCACAGTGACTCAGGACTTAATGACAAGGTGTGTTATTGCTGGGCCCCGGCGCCGTCTTTATGGAGTCTGGCTAATGCTTGTAGTGCCTGTGAGAGGTCATGGGGACATATTCTAGGAGGAAGGTTTGGGTGAGAGCACCAACTGCTGCCCTAGAAGCTTGGACCTTGTCTGACCTCCTCATCACCTGAGATGAATTTGTCTGCAAGAAGAGGTATCCCTTCTTTGTGTGACAGCCAGGAAGGCCTGCACACGTGTATTTTCATTATACTGCATTTGGATGCTTGTAAAGGATTTAGAAAACTTAATTTCTCTCCTCGGTGGGAGAAAACCGTGCTTACATTTGCCTAAAATAAGAAGCTCAACTTCTGTGCCCGATCACGAGAGTTCGATGTGTTTCTGGCGGTTTGTTTCTGAGCAGAGACTTGTGTCAGCTTGCAGGTCCACAGAGGTTAAAATCGTAATCCATAAACCCCTTGGAGGAGACTAAAAAAGGGAGAAGTCTGGCTGTGTTTGGAGTATCTGGTGTCTAAATTGGTTGTTGTGCTGGGAATGGCTGCAAAGTGTGACCATCTGTAGCGTTCCCTGAGGATGTGTGTCCTGACACTGGTTGGGAAACTGTTGCTCGTTTTGTGGGTAGATTGAGGTCTCGGACTTTATTAAGAAATTATCAGATTTTTGTGAGGTTTTAGTGTCTTGGTTACTACTAATAATGTTTGAAAATGACAGAAATTATACAGTGGGGAATATATGGAATCCATCTTCTCTAACATGTAGGGGTTTTTTACCAGACCATTTGGGGTGAAATACTTAAATAATCTCAATATGTGCCTGTTCTTAGAGCAAAGAGAACCACATCACCACAAATCCTTGAAGAAGAAGGATGGCTTTCCCCATCCTTACTGGTGACAGCAGGCTCTGGTAGAGCTGCTGCTGACCAGTATCTCCATCCTTGGAGACCTTGAGGGGCTGGAGCATGTACAGGGAAGGGAACGGAGCTGGGGAAGAGTCTGGAGCAGCAGGAGTGGCTGAGGGAGCTGGGGGGGCTCATCCTGGAAAAAAGGAGGCTCAGGGGGAACCTTCTGGCTCTGCCACTCCCTGACAGGAGGGGGGGAGCCGGGGGGGGGATCAGGCTCTGTTCCCAGAGAACAATGGAAAGGGCAAGGAGGAATGGCCTCAAGCTGTGCCAGGGGAGGTTGTACATGAGGAAGAATTTCTTCCTGGAAAGGGCTGTCAGGCCTTGGAAGGGGCTGCCCAGGGCAGTGGTGGAGTCCCCATCCCTGGAGGTGTCCAAGGAACGACTGCACTTGGCACTCAGTGCTCTGGGCTGGGGGACAAGTTGGGGGGTGGGCACTGGTTGGACTCGATGATTTTGGAGTTCTTTTCCAACCTAATTGATTCTGTGGGTCTCAACCTGCCCAGGGGACATTGGTGGGTCGTGGTGGTCGTGGACAGTGGGGCAGGAGGGCAGGGCTGGAGTCAGAGCTGAGCCTGCGTGTTGTCTGCTCCGTCTTGTCCACAGCTTTGTGTTCCCAAGGCTGAAACAGTTTCACTCCTTGCCTTCACGGTGCACTCTCATGGTGGTTGAGGGATCTCTGTGTTGAAGTGAGTGTGGATTCACCCAGAAGCCATAGTAGCCCTTGTGCAGAGCCAGGACACCTCTGTGGCTGGTGTTGGGAGAGGCTGTGCTGGGCTGTGCCGTGGTCCAGGTAGCTGCACGTGCCTTCCAGTGAGTAACCACCTTTCCCTCTCTCCTAGAATGGCAACAAGGAGAGCAACCTCGACATGCTGGGCACAGACATCTGGGCTGCCAACACCTTCGAGTCCTTCAGGTAAGCTGGTGTTCAGGTGCTTTAAGAGAGAGATGATCCAGCTCTTAAATGGACTGTGCCTTCTTTTAGCCTTCACCCACAGGCCCCTCCTGCTGGTACCCAGGCACCAGTGAGTACCCTGATAGTACTCGCATTGCTGCTGCTACTCCTTGCCATCCCCATCCAGCCCGTGGCTGAATGAGCTTGTTTGAGCTTGGGGAAAGTGGTGAAATATGCTTTCCGTCCAGTTTTATGCATCTCCCTGTGCCTGGAGCACTGCAGGAATCTCCAGGGGCTGCGTTATCACCTGCCTGCTCCAGGCCATTGGAGCAGGCAGGTTGTGCAGGGCCAGAGAGAACATCTCCATTGTGTGGGCCAGACCACTACCTGTTGAGGTACCCCCTTGATAGAGACCAAGTATAGCTTGCAAGGTGTGTGCTGTATCAAAATTAGGGGTTTAGATCAAGCAACAGGAGCTCAGCATATCCAAAAAACGAGGAAAAAAAAATGAAAAGAAAGGAGGTGCAGCAGTGTGGAGGTCGGGGGCCCACATCCATGTGCTCTGCAGCAGGGAGTGGTGCTTCCAGAAGTACCGGCTCTCCTCGTCTGCGGGCTCCAGTGTGCCTTCTGCTATTCAGCTGGGTGGTGTTTAATCAGTTCTGGACTTTCTTTCTTTTTGTTTCTCCCTGTTTTTCTCACCTAGTGGTGCAACGTGGGACCTGCAACCTGAAAAACTAGATTTCACCCAATTTCACAGGAAGCTGAGAAACACCTCCAAACACCCGTTGCCTCACATAGACAGAGAAGGGTGAGTGCCCTGTGTGCAATGCTGTGCTCTCCAGGAAGGTCTCCTAACTTCTCCCTTGCTGTGGGAACGCTGGCTTGGTGACAGACCTCATGTGGAGGGCATGGGGAAAAGGTGCTGGAAAGACAGTCGGGGTTTGAGGATGCCACAATCAGTCTGTCTGGCTCCTCTGTCATCCAGTGCTGGGCTGGAACAGACTTGTTCTCTGCATTTTTGCACTGTTTGGTAGATTCCAGTCTTTAAATAACTCTGGATCCAAGTCTTCTAGATGCAAGTCTCCCAGATTTAAACATCTCTGGATACTGGGAGAAAGATCCTGGTTTTGTGCTGACCCTGGTTTACAGTTACTGTTCTCTCCAGCAAGCTTGCAGTTGAAGAAATGAGCACCAATGTGATTCGTGTAGATCCAAAGTGCTCATCCCCCATCTGCTAGACATAGAACTGGGGAAACATTCAACAGCTCCTGTTGCTGGTAGCAGCCTCCATGGACTGCCATGGTATTTTTTTGCTAGGATTCCTCATCAGTTGCTGGTTGGTCAAGCCAGGTAAATGTGTACTGGCACCAAGTGGATCACCGGCGTTCCTTCAGTGGGTATCACTTTTTCTCTGGGGATTCTCTGCAGATGGAGAAACAATCACTACCTGAAAGGAGATTGTGGCCAGGCGGGGGTCAGTCTCTTCTCCCTCGTAACAAGTGGCAGGACAAGAGGAAAAGGCCTCAAGTTGCACCAGGGGGAAATTAGATTGGAAATTAGGAATAGTTTCTTCACAGAAAGGGTTGTCCAGCCCCAGCACAGCTGCCCAGGGCAGCAGTGGAGTCCCCATCCCAAGAGGGATTTAAAAGCTTTGCCATGGCATATGCAGGGATGGAAATCCTCTCTTGCTGTTGATAAGTTGGTTTTGCCAAAGTACTGGCCAATGCCATATGCCTGATCTGCACACCTTGTTTAGAAGACAAGAATAGAATTATTGTTAGAATAATTGATTAGAAACAATTAGAAACACCTTGTTGTTTCTGACCAGGCCAGCAATCCCACCCCAGCAAAGGCTCAGCATCTACAGGAGGCCCTTGTACTGCAGAGTGGCAGGAAGGGTCACACAGCTCAGTTTTTTTTCTGCAGTGTAAGTAAGGCAGAATGCAGATATATAAGGAGCAATTTTCAGAACATTTGGAACAATGGAACACTAAATTTCTAAGTCACTAAGTGCCTTAGTCACGTTTACTCCCATTTCTTCTGAAGGGTTTGAAAAACGAGACGGAGGGGCCCCCTGTAAAATAAGATCCAATATACCAAATGGATCATGGCACTTGCCACATGATCCTGTCAGTGACATCTACTACATAGAGGGAGGATGCAGCAGGGTCTGCATTGTGGTTTTCCTCCCTTCCCAGTGTAGTGCAAATGCCAGGATGCAGATGGGTAGAGAAGGCAGTGTGGAGGTGAGATATTTAATCACTCCTAAATACTACAGCCGTAAAACTTGGATAAGGATTAGTGTATGTGCAGGAAAGTTAAACAGATGCTGTCAGCACAAGCAGTGCATCTCCCACTTATATGCAGGTCATATAAGTAACTTGGCTAAAATAGGGGAAGCACAGACAAAATTGGTTTTATTTTTTAGCTCTTAGTTGGCTGCCTTGTGCATTCATCATCAGCGCGCTGTGCCAAATCTGTGCTGTGATTCAGCTTGCTGAACCTCCAAGAATCTCCACCTGCTAGCTAGGCATTTTCTCTCTGGCTTGAATGGGAAGCTTTTTTAACAATGTAGCTGTGCAGCGAAAAAAATAACAGGGGGAAAAAAAAAAAGGAATATGCTGTTCAGCTATGTTTTCAACACTGCAAACACCAAAAGGACCATTTTATTCCCTAGCCTGATCTCTTACCCAAGATTGACCATGTAGTTATTTGACCTCAATGGACTTTTGCTTGGATGAAGTGTTTTCCTCCAGAAAGACATTGATTTTACTGTAGTCTGCTGAATAATCAAAGTGGAGTGGTTAAGCAAAACTGGGGAACTGTATTGACCCAACTCGTTTCTGACCTGAAATTGTCTGGCTTTAATTTCCACTGTTAGCTCTTCCTCTGCTTTTACTCTTCCAGATCAAGCAACCTTTTGTAGATGGCATTTTCTCTTCACTCCAGGTATCTCTCAAGCACATTTATCACTTTAGTTTTTCTGGTACTCTAAGAAATTCCTCTGCCACCTCTTTGAAATGTGACTGCCAACGCTTCCTGTGGTTTTGTGGATCAGGCTCAGCCGTGCTGTCTGTAGAGGAAAGCTGCCTTCATTCCCCTAAGCCTCCTCCTCCTCACCCCCTGCCTTTATGCCACAGTTTAGCACCAGAATTTCAGCCTGGAACTCTCCCCATCCTTTTCAGATAACCTTTTTCTGTGATACAGCTCTGATTTCCTATAGCCATGGAATCATAGGAGGGTTTGGGTTGGAAGGGACCTTCAAGATCACCCAGTCCAACCCCTCTGCCATAGGCAGGAACACCTTCAATTAGACCAAGTTGCTCAATCAAGTCAAGGTTAATTAAATTGCTTGCCTTCAGCTTGCTATTTCTTGAGCCTGGCACTTCAGCACATGCCCAATTTTTTTTTTAATTTTTTTCCCCCTTTTGCACCAAGTCCACCAAGATATGTTTTTCTCTCATTTCTAAGCACTGATTACGTGCATCTGCTGCTACCAGAGTTCCTATTTTACCTTATTCAATGATACCTTGTCACTAATTGACAAAAAAATACATTATCATTCTTGCATAACAAAAAATATCTTCTCAGTTGTTTATAAATGTAGAAGGATAATATTTACCATTTTTTCTTCTTCTGTATCATCACAAACTCTCTGCATCCAGCTAGTAATTATCTTTGGATTGGGTCTTTTTTTCCTTTCTTAATGCAAGAAAGTCCTTCAGCTGCCAACTCTGTGTTTGGTGCGTGAGTGCTTGGCTTCTCACCCCAATTTTTTTGTCTTTCAAATTGTCTGTTTATGTTTATATCGATTGCTGTTTGCTGTCTGAGATGTATGTTTGTGCTTGCTCTCTGACACCTTTCTCAGCAGGGGAACTGGAGCTCCTGTGGAGACCCACAAATGAGCAGTGCTTCAAAGGAAACATCTTTCATTACCTTTTTGTGTCCTCAATTTTTTCTGTCCAGGTGGGCTGTGCTTTCCGTTTCACTTGGTCTGGGAATCGAGTAACCCAACGCCACCGCTCAGGACTGCCTTTGGTTCTCTCACTGCTGCCACTACCAAGAGTGTTTGAGTGCTGTGGCAGATGGTGCAGGTGGAGAGGACTGGGAAAAGCATTTAATTTTGTATTAACAGCTTTACGCCCGCGTGGGAGTGTTTCGGAGGCGCAGCACACTCACCTCAGAGAGCCTCTTTGTTTTCACGAGGGTCCTTTTGCAGTAAGAACTGATCTTCCCCATGCACTGTAATAGAAAATTAGCCGTGTTTCCAGCGAGTTTTCACGTGGTTTTGTTTGTTTTCCTCTTGCCACAGGCTTGGAAAAGGGAAGTACGAGGATGGCGACAGCATCAACTTGAACGACATAGAGAAAGTCCTCCCAGTGTGGCAGGTAGGTGACAAGGACGTCTGCCCGTGCTACAGTGGAGACCAGCAGCGCCTTCCCTGCCTTGTGTTTCCTTAGGAAACCCCCCTCAGGAGCGGGAAAGCTGCTGAGCTATGGTCCTTTGGGGGCTGGGATGGAGATTGGTGCCTGTGGTTTCGGGTGTTGGTGCTGGGCAAGGGCGGTTGCCACGCAGACTTTGTCGAGAGGTGATATACGCTGAGGGCAGTATATATAAATACATACATATATATGTACCTGTGCACAGGACTCATATGCTTTAGAAAGGGAGATTCTGAAAAGCATCACCACCCCCCAGCAGCTCGAAAATAAACTGCTGCCAGGAAGCCAGCAGCGCTGGAGTGCTGGCCCAGGTGTTTCCCTTTTGGAGCATGTCTGTGTTTACATGCAGTGATAATCCATGTGTGTGTTTTCCCCAGCCTATTCCTTCTCCAGATCTCTCTTCATGCTCGGATGCCTTGGATGTTGGGGAATGGCAGGATGAGACCCTCAGTTAAAAAGTCAGATTGAATAAGTCCATTTGTCAGCATCGTATAATTTTTCATTTTACGGAGCCCTAGTCCTCGAAGAGTGTCCTGGGCTAGGCAAGTTCTGAGGATGTTCAGTGTGCTTTTGCTGAAATCTCTGCCTCCAGAGGCAAGGACAGAGACATCTCGTGTGCTGTGGTAGCATTACCCTTTTCAGTGCTGAGCCAAGGGCTCGCCAGGCTTCTTGCTCATGCATCATGTGAGGAATGGCTTTGCTCATCCTGCAAACCATGTGATGATCTGCCTTACTGTTTCTTTTGGGTGAGCTATTTGGCACTGAATACACGAAGCAGTGGAAGGAGTGGAGAAGTGCTGCTGACTTTGGCAGGGAGGAGCACTCCCTGCAGCTGCTTCCTGCTCAGTCTCTTCCATGTTTGGTATGTCTGGACTTTAGGTCACAGGGAGAAAACATCAGGTCCAGCTGGTGCAAACCCCAGCAGTTCTGCAATAGAAGGTTAGTTTTCCCCAGGGAATAATTGGGAAATGAGGAATCAAACCACCTCTGGTGCGAGGAGCTGATTTTCTTCAAGAGGGTTTTAATCAACAGCTATTAAATAAGCCAAGTCCTTCTGTTATGGTTATCATCTCATCGTGCCCTAACACCAGGTTGAGTCCATCGGCTCCAGTGAATTAATTGCAAAATGTACCTTAATATTTAGCTTAACTGCTAGTGTGACATTTCTAAGCTGGAAGACCTAGTGGGAATGCTGGATCTGGTGTTTGGTTTGTGCCCCTGGGCAGGCTCGTGCAATGCTGCATTATTTTGGAGACGTGCTTACCTTGGCATGCGTGTCTGTGGGAACTGGGAACCAGGTAGTTCTGGGTGAGGATTTGTCTTTTTTAGCGCCGACAAGTGAAATGCTTGCAGACAGCTGGTCTAATCCTCACATGTCATTGTTAACTGGATTTGAATGCAACCGTGCAGTGCTGACAGTGATTTTTCTGGTCTTTATCCGCTGTTTTAAATGGCTCTGTGGAGCAGTGTATGTGGGGGGCATAAGGGAAAGTATTTGTGTGAGACTATGGAAGGAAAATCGTTAGCCTTCCATGGGGTTGTCCCGTGATGGGGCTTTGTTTGTTACGTGTCCTGAAGAAGAGGCTTTTCAGGTTGGAGATACATGAGCTCTTATTCTGCCTGTGTTTAAGAGCTCCTGGCTTGCTTACAGCAGCCATGCACAGACAGGGGGGCCAGTCTGAGCATCCTCCAGTGCCACTGGGGTGGTCTGAGAACCCTCCAGTGCAACTGAACCAGTCCAAGCATCCTCCATCACAACTGGGGTGGTCCAAGCATCCCCCAGCACAACCCAGATGGAAATGTTTTGCTGCTGAGTGTACTTCAGCGGCTGTAGAAGGGTTAAAAGCAGCATATTTGAGAGAGGTAGCAGGTCTTACTTGCGGGTTGCTTGGAGATTTGGGTGCCTTGGATGTTAATGCATGATAGACACAGGACATGAACCTTGAACTAATCTCAGGTATACATCCAGGTGTGTATGTGTATCTCTATGCAGCGACATCCCTAATGGGTTAAACAGAATATTCTGGGTATCTAGGGACTAAGCAGGCCATTCTGGGTGTTAATATGTCTATACATGAGTTTTGCTGCTCGAATCTATCAGTAGTATTTTAACAAAATATTGCAAGGAAAGCCTCTGATCGTTTGGCAGTTAAAGGGTGAAAAAAATAAACAAAAAAACCCCCATATAAACGTCCCCCCAAATCCTCTTCTTTTGTTTGGAAATCGGAGAATGCTCCTCGGGGTTGCTCTCACAGCACAGCCCACTCTGCCATCTCGTGGACATGCACAGGCAGGTGAACCCGGCTCCACAATTCCTTCACCACAGCTGGTATTTTGAAGCTTTCTCCTGCTTTTCCTCCCATCTTTTCAAAACTCATCTGACATGCTGAATGTTGCTGGTAAATAGGTTTTATTTTTGAAAGCTTCATCGCTAGGAGATCATGAGGTCATTGCTTTGGCTCAGCTCGTGAGCTGTAACCTCTTCATCTCTCCTTGCTCGTAAAAGTCTGTAGCTGGATTTGGGCACTAATTCACCAAAGCGCTGCCAAAACGGCTACTCTTTTGAAGATAAGTGTTCCCCATTCATAAGAACTGCTCTTTACTGCACGCCAGGGAGGAGCAATTTGCTGCATTAGAAGGGCACAGCTCAGGTGCAGAGCTGCCCGTCATCTTCTTCTCCATTTTCACCTCAGCTGGTTTGTTGAAGGAGACCACATAACCCACCTTGATGTCATGAAGACGTCACAGGGAAGGGCTGAGTCAGTGCCTTTTGCATTTGCTCCCCTTTGGCAAACGCTTGGAAAGGCTTTCAGGCTTGGATGTGTCACAGCCGAGTGCTCCAGTCCTACATGCAGGCTTTGGACTGAAAGCCCTGGGCAGACTCTGTACTTACCAGAAAAAAACAACCTAAGGGGTCATATCCTGCGAGGTCACAGAATCATGGAATGGCTTGAGTTGAAAGGAACCATAAAGCTCATCTCATTCCACCCCCTGGCACGGGCAGGGACACCTTCCACTAGACCAGGTTGATCCAAGCCCCATCCAACCCGGCCTTGGATGCTTCCAGGGATCCAGGGGCAACCACAAATTCTCTGGGCAAGGTCCAACACCCTCCTTCCTGTAAAACTCGTGAAGGGTACAGGAGGCTGCATGCCACAGCTCTGAAGGCTGCTAGACACAAGCAGAGAGTTTTTGGGACATATCCCAAGTGGTTTCAGGACTGGCATCTCGCAGTGTTTGGCTTTCAGTTTGCTGGACCGCTGCCTTCAGGATGGGCTTGCCCTCCTCAGAACTCTGGGGATGTGCCTTCACTGCCCAGCTGCTCCTCTTGCCTTGTGCTTTAGGAGGTAGAAATTGTGTGGCACTTTTAAAAGGCATGTTGGGCTTTGCTGTTGTAACGGGATAAACTTGGAAGGCAGCACTGATATCATTTGGTTTGGCATCTCGCTGCCTTTGCAGCTCATCTCCTTCCATTTCCTTACTGATTTTTGACCCTTTTTGTCATATGCTCGCAGTTACAATAAACTGCTTGTTTCTCTTCTGGCTGCGGTCGTCATCCAGCTTCCTTGTTGGATGAGAACCAAGGGAGCAGCTCCTTAGGAGAAAGGCAGACTCTGTAAGTTGTTCGTGTTCCCCTTAGCACTACTGTATTCTTAATTTTGTCCAAAAAGGCTTAGAAACACCGCGATTCCCTATCGTGCTGCGATCCCACCTGAATTTAGGCACCTGCAGGCATCACTGCCCACTTTCCATGGGACCCCTTTTCACTGACAAGTGTTTTCAAGTCAGACCCTAAAATTCTGGGAGGGCCGAGATCCTGTGAGTCAAGGTGGGACCTCTGCATGGGGTGGTTGTTTGGGGCTCCTGCCCACGCTGAGGTGTGGGCACAATGGGATGTGATTTGTGGCCCCTCAGCGCAGAGATCTAGGAAAGTCTGGGTGATTCCCATCTGAGGGTCCCCATGTCCTTTCCCTGTCAGCTCTGCAGGGTGCCTAGATGGACCAGTTCACACATGTGAGACTTGGTCAGATATGGATATCTCTCCCTGAGAGAGATGAAGCCAATGCAGTTATCTGGGGAGAGGAGGGTTGGAACCCCTTGCTGTCACTCTGCGTGTGAGGAGGTGGGATCAGTGTCCAGCACTGGTGTGGGGGCTAGGTTCTGGAACCTGCAGACCCCTGTACCTCCTAGGGTGGTGGTGGCAGGGCAACAGGTCTCTCTGGAGCTCGGGGACAGCTCTTTGGTGGGGTGGTGTTTATTTGCTGTCACCATATGGGGAGTCATCCTCTCCACGTCATCTCTTGCCTGCTCTTTCTGCACTACAAGGTCAGGCAGCTCTCATTTTACCCAGCATGTTGGGCAGCTCAGATCCTTCCTCTCCTGGAAGGCTGTTCCACACTGGTGGAGCTGGGTTGGGCTCATCCCTCTGGCATCCCCTCCCACTGGGAATAACCTGGCCCATGTGGTGTATGCCCCTTGTGCTCTGTGTCTCTGCTGCCACTCATCAGGTCTAACCCTGATGTCCTTTATGTGTACATCAAAGCCCTGTAAAGAAGTTGGGGTTCCTCCCTAGGAGCCCCAAAATGGGGATTTCTTCTCCCCACCCCCAGTTCTTGCTGGACTCTGTCCAGAACATGTAGGCATGGTGTTGCTTTCAGGGGAGGTTTCTTGTCTGAAAAGCCCATATCCCAAGGGTCTTTCCAATACTGTAACGGCTAAAACCACTGTGGAAAGTCCCTGTCAAAGAGCCAGGGTTTACTTAAGTATAGGTCACAACATATTGGGAGTCAGAGGTTCTACTGCTAAATAAAAAGCTTTTGGTTTGCCATGACTTCCAGTAAGGCGTGGTCTTTCTGTGGCCTGGTTTTTTTTTGTTGTTTTGAACCCAGCTGACAGTGACCATCGCCTTGGCTTTCGGTTTGGAGAGGGGAAACTGCTGTGGTCAC